ATCAATAGCTTCTGGAAAGAAAATTTTCATTAATATTTAAAGTCATATTTTCCAAATAATTTCTATTTATTGCTATTTCTAATTTCTATTTATAAGCTGTGGTTCCAAGAGTCACGTGAAACAAATATATAGTTAAATAAAATGTGCTTGATTTATGTATCCTCATTTATTTTAGAAATTTCACTACAAGTTGGAAATTGTACATACACACAATTTTAAGGGCAACTCCACATTCTGCTATTATCACAGTAAGTATGGGGAGAGATTAACAAATAGACATTGAATAGCAAAAGAAAATTATGTTCACATCTTGGAGCTTTTAATTTAATAAATGTCTATAATGGAAAAAAAATAAGTATTGAACACCATTAAAATCTCTGCCATTAAGTCTGATGCACATGTGTATGTAATATACTTTGTCGCATAAAATAATTAAAATAATATTTGCATATTTGATTAAATACTACTGTACATGATTTTTGGGGAATGGTCTTGTTAATCACAATAAATTATACAGTCCAGTACAGCACTGCTCAGCACAAATATCCTGGAAAATGAACAGTATTTTAATGGGAAAATAAATACCATGCAGTGTAACATGTCTTGACTCATCACAGAGAACACCCAAATTCCGGAATCTAATCTTATCCCTGGGGTGAGTCACAATGTACTGTAACACTTCCAAAAACATACACAATCTAGATAACTGCATGCGTTTGGCAAAGACTATGTTATGTATAGGGTTGCCTTTTTGTTTGATTTCTGCATGTGTTCTTTGGAGATACAAGTACATCATGTGGCGTCATGTTCGGGGAAGCATGGGTCTGCGAGGCGCCTTGTCTGAGGAAGAGCGGTACGCTGTGGTCTCTGTGGCAGGCCTGCTTACTGACTGCAGCAGGAAAGGGGGAAGTGCTACCTTATGCGTGAGATCTCCTGGTATTGCCCAAATGGTACTGACTCAGGGGGTGCTGTGACCCAACTGAAATTTGACATTTTCTATCCTTCTATGGAGATGATGATGATGATGGTTATGATGATAACCTTTTATTTCGAACATATACAACAAACCAATATATACACATATATATATACACGCATATCTGCCTATATAGGTACACACACATGTGTGTGCCGCAGACAAAATAAACAAAATCTTAAAAACATAAAATGAAAGAAAAAAAATTGTCAAGTCCGAAATGGAGTTGGAGGAAGTATGTCCATACTTATTAATCCTAACCCCATGCTCCACACTATCGAATCACCATATTCTTAGTTACCCCCCACCTCCCCTCATTACTCACCCCATGATGACCACGAGATGGGGTAGGAGAGGGGAAGCATTCCAATGTATCTGTACTTCTGCAAATGGTAAATAAAGGATTGAAAAAGAAGCTTTTTTGCATGAAGAATGACAAAATCAGTTATGTTAAGAGTGACTTGATAATGGGCCCCACATTCGGCATATTCCTTGAGTTTTAGAAACAATTCTGTCATAGCTAATACATGATTATCTATAAATAGAGGCATTAGCCAGAATCATGCTCGTAAGAGCCTTAGACGTCTGCACACCGCCGAGTGTTTCGTCACTGGTGTCTCACTAAGCTTGTGTCATGCCTACTGACAGAGAAACATCCTGTTGACTGAAGTGCCCTGAGACTGGGTGTAGTAACAGATGAGTCACGCACCTGTGGGCTTTGGAAATGCAACGTTGACGCACTGGTCAATTTTTCATAAGCGAACTTGTGCCACTGATATCATACGTGATCTTCGTCTGCCACGTCACCTACATGCACTCATTATGGTCAGCAGTCAGACATCAGAGCCACAACTTTGGTGGCACCTCTTTGTGAAGCTCTACGACCTCTTTGTACCAACTATGGGCTCTGGAAACTGCGAACACATTTGCATTTAAGACTCACGAACAAGACCAGTGGGACAGACGTACCTCATATCTGGAAGCAAAAATCAGAGACTAGGGAGAACAGTTAAGGCAAGGTGGGGGGAGGGGAGGGGAGGGGAGGGGGGGGGCTAGTGGAGAACTTCCTTGACAGTTAACTGAAGTATCGGCATCTGGTGGATTTTTGGAATTTTCTATCTATCTTCAGGGCTGTTTTTTGCATCCGAGTAGCATGTCTTAGCATGTTTGCCACATGCATCTGTGAAATCACGTCCAGCTGTATGAGAAGGGCTCCATATTCATATTTCACTACTGGGGTAGCTATTTGTGTCTTTAACATCTGACCCAGATTCAGGCTCACTTCCCAGTACAAGGGACTATATGTTCTGAAACACGTTTACCAAATATAGATGAATATGTCTGGGAAATGATCTTATCACATATCTTACTTTTCTTTTACTGAAAGAAGCAACTTACTGATTTTTCAGTTTTATGAAACTTTGGCATCTACTGTTTGCAAAACAGAAAATAACAACAACTGCATTTTATCATTACAATGTAAATATCAAAAAGTTAATTAAATGTTTGGTGCACCTGCTAGGACAGCTGATGGCTGAATACAACAAGTTAAATTACATTTCCTGTTATGAACCAAAAAAAAAGGCAAATCAGAGTAAAACCGGACATACCAAACTGGAATCAGATAACTGGTCATGTTAACTGCTAAACATGGAACTCATTTTAATTTTGATTGTTTTATAAACCAGTCAAGTAAAATTACTTAGTTGGGACCCAAGCATTTCTATAAATACATTACTTACTGCCCCCTAGTGTTAATTAATTGAATTACTTAAGAATAAGGAAGCGGTTTGGATAGAGATTAAAAATATTTTTGCTCTTGTACTTGTATTTATACTGTATACAAGTATTTAAACCATTGACGTTCTCTCTGATGGGAAGTTCTTCAGGATAAATGTTTCAAAGCACAAATGAAATGCTTGAATGAACTGTATCCGCTTGTTGAATTGTTTGAAGTGGAAATATGATGTTGCGTCAGAAGATTGTGTTTAATTTTTATTCTCTGGGGAATGGGGTTTAAAGCCTATGCATCTGCGGAAAATACCCCCCGCAGTTGTCTTTTCTTTTCTTCTTGATAATTTGTTTTGACCTGTACACTTGCAGGCTATCTGAAAATAAGACATTTTCCCCGTCATCACTGCTAAACTTCCTTGAGACGCAAATACTAGAAAAGTGTCTGTAACAGATGCGTGAGAAAAGCAGTTGGCCAGCGTGGTTTGCATTTTAATCAAACGGGAAGCAGGAAATGATGTCACTTGGTAACAAACAGGATGCTGTGATTATAACACAATGAAAATGCTTGGCTGTGTGATTGAAACCCAGAGGCCAAAATATGGGCCAGAATGGGGAAAACATACAGCTGCCGGCACGAGACAGGTTGCAACTCTGTGAGCAAAAGCTGCAGGAATGGTATGACGACGAAGCCTTTCGAACCACAGGTTTTAGGAATGTTCGGGGTTCACCTTTGACCACACGGCTGTTCCCAGCTCTCAAGCCTGGGTCTGGTTTTTTTTTTTTTTTTTAATTCTGCTGTTGTGTACTGATCATTAGTCTGCCCATTATTAACTGAAGTAAGGAGATTGAAGTAAGGTGAAAATCAGCTCTGAAAGTCTTGTATTATCAAATCTGCCTCTGCCTTTATGTTTCTTTTGCAGTGTTCTAATTGTGTTGCTTGACTGTATAAAATCCAATTTCTATTGCACACTTGGAGACTGATCTTGTGTTTTATCTTAATGACTTGATCTGGTAACTGTGTGTGTGTTTGTGGGGGGGGGGGGGGTCTTGACTCTGATTCTCTTAAAGTTAGAGGCAAAACCAGCACATCTGAACCACTGAGAACCCCTCCCCCAACCCCCCTATGCCACGTTCCACCTGCCTCAAGCTACCAGACGGCCACGTTATAAACAAACTGAACCGCATCAAGAACCAATCGAAGGGAATTGGAGACTCCTGTCTGAAAAACCCCAGTCCTGCATGAGCCAAGTCAGCCTATCATGTAGCAGCTGGAAGGTTTGCTGTTTAACCATATATTATGACAAAAACACGTTTTTAGTACAGAAAGAGGATTTACACACAATTAGTATGGCAGAGCGGGGTTTGGATGGAGGATGGTTCAATATTCTTACAGTAAAGGGACACCCTGAATGAATTAACCTAAAATTAATTAAACTCAGAAGCCCATCTGTGCCCCCACCATTCTGGGCCATCGTCGGAGAGCCTTTTTTAAAGCGACTTAGCGGGGTTTTCGGAGGGACCACTGGGCCATTCTGTCGAATTTCACCCTGAATGGAGACCGGGGCTTGGCGGCAGGTTCCTCTTGCGTCTGAGGCTCCGTTCTCCTGCTCGTGCTTGGGTGCGGGGGGCACATATGCTCGCTTTCATAGACGTGTGTGTGTGTGTGTGTGTGTGTGTGTGTGGTGGGGGGGGTCACACCCTTTTGCATCTGCCCGCCTTTGTTAAGTAGCTGCTTTTCTCCTCTCTCTCCTCCCATCGTTTGCTCTTTACTTGTTTTTGTTTCAGAATTCCAGCTTAGGGGCTTCGTTTCCATGGAGACGGATTAAATTTCAAGCCAATTAAAAGTACATGAACGTGAAGGGGTGAGGGGGCGGGGTTTAAGGGGTGGGGATTCTTTTCAGTAATTAAGTGGTGACGTTGCCAAGCGTGGGGCCATGCAGACGAGGACTAACGTAGCCCCGAAAGTCCTTATTTCTGTTCTGAAAGCACAAGATCCTCCCAGTAAACAGAAGCCTACTTTTAATTACCTATTTGTTTGTTTGGGGGGCCCCTTGCTAATTACTACATTAAATGAGGTTTTTCCCCTCCACATATGGTGCAGCGTCGCAAAAAATCTTGGAAACCTTTAATTCCACCTCTCTTCAGAAAAAAAAAATGATTATATCATCTGAAACACACACACACACTCAAAAAAATGTGTTCATGGTGCTTCTATGAGTCGCAACAGAGGTACCGTCGCAGGACGCCTTCTGCTGTGCTTTTCTATGCAATAAAATGAAAAGGATTTAGCTAATTTTACTTTATACATTTTAATATATTACTCCTTATATTCCAACGTCTTCTGCCTGTTACCAACAAGTACAATACTGACCACCAATGACTGAGAGCACATGGATTTTACACGACAAAGACTACCACTCTAAGTAAATGCGATTATTACAAGTTACAAGCTCACAGGAAATCCAGATGTAGCTGGTTTTTTTTTTTTTTTTTGTTGGATTATTGGCTGTAACTGAAAAGACCTACAGAATTCCAAAGGCTAGACAAAGTGCTAGGATTTCCAGTATTCCGTCTTTCTTTAACATTTAATGAGGCCAGGAAACAACTATGTACCAGGTATGTTTTCATTGATAAAAAAAAAAAACAAAAACAAAAAAATAAATTCATATTTTGTGAACATCAAATGAAACACAGTTTTAAAAGAAACTGCTTGTACACTTCAGACATTTTCTGTTTATAAATATACATTATATACAAAATAATCTTATAAAACATAGAAAGATCAGTGCTTCATAATATTTAAATTAACTAGTGAAATTCTAATCTTAAAAAATAACATTATTGGTTCAGTAATTTCAATACTAATTATAGGCAGTCCTTGGTACGATAGTCACTTCTCTTCGTTTTTATTGTATGGGCAATTTTGCATAATTATAAAAAGTAGTGGGTTGTACTTTTCCTTGGGTCCCACTGGCACAGCACTTTGGGTCTCCATCCTTTGTTTTTCCACCCTAAATCCCATTCAATTTCCAAAGGAAAATATCTCTTCCTCCCCTTCTCTGTAGTGCAAAAAACCCAAGAAAGTCAGGGCACAAATTCAGTGCTTCAAACCCATGTTAAGGCTTTGTGATATGGGCTGCATACAATCTTTATCAAAGCTTGGAAAAAAAAACTGAAATGCCAGTCATTTTGCAGATTTGACAATTCTCAGCCGTTCTTATGAACTACGAACCGTCACTTGTATTTATTTTTATTATTCCCCCCCCCTCCCCCAGAAAGAATTATGTAGAGTTCTTTACTTGGAGAAATCTACAATTTTTTTTTTTTTTAGTTTCTTGCATAGCACACAGCCTGGGAAGAATCCGGGAAGTAGCTGGCCCCTCCCACTTATCTGTTGGCTGCTTGTTGATTGGTCAATGATTATCGCCACAATGCTGAGGGTCTTTTTATCCGAGGCAGACCCTTCCTCCGTCCATTAGCCGTCTGCTCACATATTTACAGTCTGCTGTCTCTCTCAAAAAGGTGTGCTCGTATCGAAGTCCCGCCATGGCTCCAGAGGGCAATGTATGCCAGTGCACACACACACACACACACACACACACACACATGCTCACTAAGGCACATTCACACACACACGCATACACACACATGCTGCCCTACTGGTGAAACATCCAAGATGCACATGCATGTGCTTCTGAGATCCCCTCCACAGTTCAGTAACTCTTATACATTCAAACACTTGACAGAAGTAGAAGTCCTATTGCAATCAGAGCAGACTCCCGCTCTCTCCAGTTATCAAGTTTTCAAGAGCAGCAATTTACATTTAAATAAATCCCAGTCTCTTCTTAAGTTCTGTAAACAGTCTGGAAGATATTCCTCCTTGATTTTGATTTTTTTAGGTTATCTTCCACAGTTTATACCTGCAAACAAAAAGTGGGTTAGGATTAGAGAGGAACCAGAAAAACACAGTAATCAGCTTTTCAGCAAAATATAAGAGAACGGCAAAAACATGCTGTTTATCTATCTTTTTTACAGCATGCCGTCTGATTCCTGTTTGGCTTGGCATCGCAACATGTCTCCCTTTATTCCCAATAGCTTTCAGAGTTTTAACACTGAACTGTGCCAAATAACATGAAAACCAGCTTTGATTTTTCTAAGTAACTCAAACATACAGCTAATTTCAAGTCAGCTGGGCCAATACATTTTCAGCAAAATAGGACACCCAGTTACTTCAAGATGTTCCGCTTGGATTAACAAACTCAACTCGACATGTTCAGAGTGGTTTTATATTAAAATACAAGCTGTGATATTATTATCATAGAATCATCATTTTCGGTAGAAACCGATACTGAATATTGGTTTCAGGAATCAGAAAGTGTAAACACCTTTTCAAAGGAGTAATCAAAACTTTACCTCAGTTGCTATGACACACTCGTTCCGCTCTTCTGCTATTACATACACGGACTGGTACATGGAATCTCTTGGGGAACATATCGTCGATATCCTACACTCTGGCTTTTCACTGTAAACACAGAGAGAGCACGAGGTTACTCAGGAACACGGGCCGACAGAGGGGAGTGGGCTGGCCAAGGTAGTAAGTGTTAGCTGAACCTGCATCGCTCTGGAGGAGTCCTGAGTGTTCACTTGGGGGGAGGCTAAACTGGGGACCTTAGCTATGGACCACCTAAGCCCCTAAGCAGAAACTGTGGAGGTTCTCTAACGTGTAACGATACACTTGGTTTTACCAAGTGTGTTAGAATCATCTTCCGGAAATGCAAAATGAACAGAAATTCAGGCGCGTTGCTAAAGTCACGGCAGATGGGAAAACATACGGCGGTGATGGAAAAATATATGCAGGATGATGTCTAAGTGGTTAATTTTGTGGCCCAGGAACTGTGAATTATGGGAGTCGGGGAGACACTTCCCGGCATATTACCTGTACATTCTACTCAATGGTGTTTTCTCTTCGGGGCACTTTTCATAACTGTGAGTCCTGTCATCCTGCGACATGTCGTCCTTGTATTCCTTGGAGGATTTGTAGTCCAAATGGTAGTTATTGTGTTTGTAGTTGGACTTCTCCAGGCCACAATCTACTTCCAGGTCCACCTTCTTGTTGGTGTTCTTCAGCTGTGAGGCTGGGATAAGGTTGTCCTTCTGGAAGTCGGACAGGTTGTTCATGGCGTCCCTGTCAGGCCCGTCCCGGCCTCGTTGGTGCCGCACGTGTCGCAGGACGACCACCACCATGCAGAGCAGCACCAGCAGAACCACCAGACCCATCCCGAGGGACACGGCCGCCCACTGGTAGGCGTCACTCGCCTGCTCGTGCTGGGTGGGGCTCGGGGCGGACGGCACCAGCAGCTGGTGATGCTGGCAGAGGTTGCCGAAATAGCTGGTCGCACAGGTGCATACGAATGGCCTGCCGTGGCCACCAGAGCATGTCCCACCATTCAGGCAGGGCTGCAGGATGCACTCGTCGGCCGGACGGTCGCAGTTGTGTCCTGAGAAGCCGGGGGCGCAGACGCAGCTATAGTCATTGACGCGGTCCACGCAGGTCCCGCCGTTGGCACAGGGGCTTGCCGCACACTCGTTGATGTTGATCTCACAGTGTTGACCCGTGAAACCGGCCCGGCAGCTGCAGAACCTCAGGTTGCCGATGATGTAGCACTGCCCACCTACATCGGGAAGATCAACGGCGTTGGACGAGGCGCTCTGGCCAGACCCTCCCACCACAGATGTCATTCCTCAAAACCCAAATCACGGTATTAAATCTGAGCGAGCTATTTGCTAATTACACCCACCCATTACGAGTTGTACTGCATACGGTGTCGCAATTATAGGCTCTTCAAGAACACATTAAATTATATGCGGGAAAATGATTGAAATTTAAACCGAAACAGAAGTTGTGACGTTGCATAATCTGGAGCCAAATTAGTGATTAATGAGCCATATGCCACTGTATGGCACTGCTGCAGGATTTTGATGCGTCATGCAGAGCAACATGCCACACTTCACACTGCATTGCTCTGACTACTTGCTGTACACTTCTGGGAAGTCAGTGCTCGTTTCACCTTGCAGGCATATATTAAACTGTCTTGTACGGAGAGAGGAATGTGGAGTGTACCATTCGCACAGGGGGGGGATGTGCACATGTCGACTTTCTTCTCGCAGTTGAGTCCCGTGAAGCCGCGGGGGCACTCGCAGGTGTAGCTGCGGCCGTTGTCCTTCTCGTGGCACTTCCCATTGTGGAAGCAGGGGGAGTCGGCACATGTCAGGAGGCTGTGCTCGCAGTGTTCCCCCTCGAACCCACGCAGACACACACAGTGGTAGCCGCTCTCCAAGTCCTATGCGCAACAAGACGTGGGGGGTGAATGAGCATTTTGGGAAAAGGGAGACCGGCTCTCGGCCAAGCTGTCTGAGGTGACTCGCTGGGGACGGATCCCATGATGTCAAAGCAGACAGTGGGGCGGTTCTATCCTTACAATGGGGGGGGGGAGAGGTCAAACGACCCACGTTTCTTCACAATGGCGGAAAAGGTCTTGCAAAGATTATCGAAAAACAAAAACAGGAAATGCCGCTCGCACAGGCATCGTGGGAAAAAGGGGTCCTTACCATGCACCTCCCTCCGTTGCGACAGGGCTGGCTGTCGCATTCCTTGACCTCCAGCTCGCATTTGACCCCAGTGAAGCCCGGCTGGCAGGTACAGGTGTAGCTTCCCTGGCCCGTGTTCATGCAAGTCGCCCCGTTCTGACATGGCTTGTGGTGGGTGCAATAGTTCAGATCTGTGTGGGCACGGGCAGGATGCATCAACCGACATGCAATTTGTCGTCCTGCACACTTGCAGCTGTGTATCGCCGACCGCTAAAACACAGCCCTGTGTGAGACTGGAATAGCGCCTCACCCTGGTCACAGAAGAGTCCGCCCCAGCCTTCCTCACAGTTGCACTGGTTCGGCAGTTGGCAGGTTCCGTGCTTGCAGGCCGGGTATGGCTTACACTCATCGCAGAATGGTCCCTGCCAACCATCCCTGCACCTGTGAGGGTGAAGCAGAATGCCGCATGTTTACCAAGAGACCCCTCCTTCGGGAAGCCTCCGCCCCCAAGCTAACAGGCACCGCCCACACCACTACCTACTATCACACTGTGGCCCCAAATCACATGTCACCCCCCCCCCCACTGCTGACACCTGACACAGGTGCAGAAAATGGCAGGTGCTGGTCTGACAGCCCAATTATGAGCCGTTGTCTCATTTGAAACCATTGTCCACACTATTTACTGGTAACAGGCATATTTAAAACTCTGAAGCAGCACAAAGGTTATTTTCTTCTCAGAGTTTATCCTCTAACTATGTCAAATCTGTCATAGGAATCTAAAAAACATGACTTTGAATACATGGTATTATGAATTAAACTGGAGGGGTAATGACCAGACAATGAAATCTGTACAATCCACACCCAGAGAAGTGGGTCGTCATTTCCCCTTAATTAACTCGAGTGAAAATGAAAGCTGTTGACATCGCTAGCTCTCGCCCCATCCACTTACACGCACTCCCCTGGCTTGGAGCAGTTGCCCTTCCCTTTGCTACATCCCTCCAGACAGATCGCTGCAACACAGAGAGATAACGAGTCATCAACTTGGCTTGCAAGCACACATTTTCATATTTAAAACAGATATTGATAAGGACTCCCACACAGGTTTGCTTAGATTATATTTTTATATACTAAAAATTCTATACAAAGAATTTATGAGGCGATTAGGGACGATTCTCTTCTGCACTGGCCCTATCTCTCTTAAGACCGTGTGTTTGATGGGACATTGATTTGTGCGGGTTAACGGCTAGCTAGGCTGAAGCAGATGCTCGCCGTCAGGCGCGGACAGCTGCCTCCATTGTCGTGTTTGCAGCTGCTACCGCGCAGTGACATCACAATGGGGAGCGCGATTGAGTGGCGCGCAGGGGACAATGACGCCGCGATTAACCCGCCGCGTGCCGCCCTCCCCCATGGGGACGCCGGTGTGGGATTAGGCTGGCCGGCACGCGCCCAGGCAGCTAGGGAGAAACCAGACGCGCGGCTGCGCCCGGGTGGCTCCCCGGCACGCGATTCCTAATTAACACGAAGGGGCGGCGCCGCTCGCGCGAGCGCCCATGGTCATGCACCTACCGCGAAGATGAGCCTGTCTGCGTTCGGAACTTGGGAGGTTTTACTACCCGATTGTTTTGGAAGAAAGGCGTTAAAAAACGACAACCTCGGATAACACGTGGTTGCGGTTGTTGGCATTTCAAGATAATTGCCCTTCATTTCTGTTTACAAAAATCGAGCTAATTTAATGCATATTGGAGCGCAATATCTTCCATACCACCTGAGACTGATCTTATACTGTATTTTAGGTAATAGTATCGTTTTATTGAAAAGCATACCCGTATTTGCTTATGGCACAAGACTGGCCATCTTAAATAATTTGTCTAGATATGATAGACTTTCTGCTGTGCTTGTATATGAATAGCAGTCGCTCTTCAACTGGCTCTCTTTTTTAACACAATACTGCATCTGAATCAGTGTCAGCTAAGCCAGCACAGTTACTTACACCGTGGAGATGCAGGGTTTACACATTAAAGAGATCCGTTACAAATTAACACCACTGAGATGCGTAACCAAGGGCAAAAATACAACACTGTTGAATTCAGCAATTAAAAGAAACGTGTAGTTTTCTTAAAGCAAACCCAAGTTATTTCAGGCCAGTAGATCATTTTCTCCGATTGCTTACGTTGTTCGCAGTATTCTCCCTTCCAGCCAGGGAGACAGGATATTTGCCCATCAGGGTCGCAGGTGTAGTGGCCAAAATGGTCGTCCCTGGGTGCGCATTTTTTGGAACAACTTTCGCCGTAGTAATTTTCATTGCAGATGAACCGGTAAGAATACCTTAGCTCCGTCTGCTTGAAGTTCTGTACATCAGGAGACCACTCATCCCCTACTTCCAACTTTTTTTGGATGGCAAAAGAGCTAATCAATAATTCGGGGTTGTTTGTGTCTGCAAGGAACAAGAGAGGGGGAAAGCAGAACCAACATGAAAAGCTGTCCAGATAAAATACGAATTTTATCAAAACAACGTATTTTCTATCAACTTTAAATAAAAGGCAATGGGAGATGCTTTACTTTGTTCTTGCTAATATTTAAATAACAGATGGTAACTCGGTTGAACAGGGGTTTTCGTCATGTGTGTTATCAAAAGCGCGTAAGCCTTTCAAGTGCAGAGTACTACGAATGAAATTTCCTCTTCCCTCGTGTCAGCAAAACATTCTCAAGCTATTATTCTCCTTCCAAAGGGCGGAACAGAAAAAGGTGTAAAATACAGGAAAAGGCAGTCAGAAGGTTTTGGCAAGGTTTAAATATTCTCACCAAAGACCAGCAGTCGTTCCCACGCCAAAAATAACTCGAAGGAAGCGCAATTGTGTTGGTGCATAAGAATGAAAAAATTGTTTTGTAGCACGTAACAAAGCAGAGCATACCTTGTATTTGGATACGTGCACAATTACAATAAATAATAGTGAAGAATACTCTAACATAAAGTTACTATTAGAGAGTATGTTTGTAAAATAAACATTTGTTCACACATAACAAACACAATTTGTAAATTGCTGTGAGTGGGAACAAGGAGACATGTCTCCCTCTGGTGGTAAAATAGGGACTTACTCACCTGCAGGTAGATCCGCGGAGGGAGAATACCAGGCTTCAATAATTAAAGAAAATGACCCCTAAGGACATAACATAAATTATTCGTATGACTACAGATGTAAAAAAACTTCAAAACCACAAGTGGTATCAGTACAAATATCCTAGAATACTACGGTACAAATTCAGCTTTAATATTCTTCACTTTCATAAAATTCATTCTGCTTAGTCAAATATTACATTCTTTATTCAGCAGTGTTAAAACATTGCTAACATTAACATGGGTATTTACAGAAGAAAACAGGTGCTTTAAATTGCTATATTAAATCAACTCTGAATTCAATGCATGTTTTTGCAAAAAAAAGGCATCTTACCGGCCATCCGAAGTTGAACGGCATTCGAATGGGTTTGCTGAAACTGCTGCTTTGCCGGACGCTAAACGAGTTTGTCCCCAGGACTGGAGTAATGACGCTGCCGAAGATACATTCACCTGGAGACACCACCGTTTGGTAGTTTTTCAAGCAAATTCGGAAAAAAGTCCTGCAGTCTGGTTTGCACGCTGTCCCATTTGCTAGCAGTCCATTATTATTCTTGAAATCCTGCAGGTCGAGCTCAAATATTCCGGATCCCCAGACCTTTAAAATACAAAAAATATTTGAAATACTGCATGACACATAATTTCTGAACGACAATCTAGACATTTACATTGCTAAATAACTTAAATATTCCCTGGATCCACGAACAGAACACAGCATAACCGTTTACCTGCGTTGAAATCGTTAAGCTAAGTGCGAAGATAAAGGTGAACAGAGCTGCCATCCTTTCTGTTTCTCCTGTGCAGCCGCTCGTCTCCTCAAAATACCGCTTTCCCGTCACAAGTCTCCTATTCCAAATAGTCACGGTAGAACGTAAAACCGTAAAAAAAAGCAAAACGAAAATATATATCCTTCTTGAAGATCAGCACAAGGTCCCCCCGTTGCAGAGGCTCCAAACACTCCAGACGTAGGTCTTAAAATTCCTGGTTATCCAACGGTACAGGTTGAGCGCATATTATAAAGATCAGTATCCACAGTTTGGCCCCGTGTGTCTCCTGCTTGGCTTCACCTTCTATACAGTCCACCGTGTTATTTGGTTTCGTGGCGCGTCCTAGTCTGCCTCGTGTTCTGCTTTTGAAAAAGACACACGTTTTGAAGCGACAGTATCGTGCAGTGGAGACGGTAACCTACTGCCGGGGCTTACTATTCCTAAATGAAGACTGCTGTCCGCCTCCCTCAGTTTATATACTGATCCTGCTGTAGCTCATTATATAAACTGTCCATCAGTAAACACCGCCCCCTCTCCATCCACCACCCTCCCCCACCACCATTTCCAACAACACTCATATCCAGATTTAATACCCCACCGCAACGCTGACCACCAAAGGAGACAGACCGATTATCAAAAAGCCCAGCATCTGTTGATATATTTTGAGCGCTTACGCCAGGGAACAGAACGTATAGATTTTTTGTATCAATTAACTGAGCATATTTTATTTTATTTAGCAACTTGTTTAATATTATGCTTGTAACGCGGGATAACATGCGTAAAATCATATGTCACAAATGGCAACCGGCGGGACGCAAAGACATCGGGAGCTGGCAAATTTAATTAGTGCTACAGTCCCATCTTTCCAGGTTTATATTATATTATTTGAAGCTAATTTTCTCAGCGTCCAAATTCATATTTCATGGATTTTATATAAGAAATGGTAGATTTAGAATGAGGACATTGGGGTACTTAAATAAATGGTTTATTATGCAACACATTTTTTCGGAACCAAGCATACTGTTTTGAATTCTATTCTTCCTTCACAAATACAATTTAATTAAAGGCTGGTATACAAGAAAATCATTTTACAAAGAGAAATACTTCATTATTTAAAACGCCATTGCAAATAACATGTACAATAACAAATGAATCTTATCAAACGAAGCAGAATAAACTTGAAACAAATCTTACTGTAAACAGAATCAGCAGGGCACCCTGACAAACCTTTCGTACAAGGCGTAGGCATTGGTGCTGTTAAATTTCAGGTGCAAGGTAAATATTTCCCCCCCGTTTTGAAATTGCACGCTCGTATTTCTGAGGTTGGCGACCGACCGGCTGCGTCTCGGGCCAGTTAAGCTCGCCCAAGTGATTGCACCTTGCCTCTTATTGTTGGGTCGCGTGCCCCTCATTAAAGTCGAACACAGAACCGGCTTTCATGTGACTTTTTATTTAAGATTGTAAAAGCGATGGGGGAGATAACCGCTCAGCTGTATGATAATGAGCTCCCGTCAGAGTTATGCTTCCGTAACATCATAAAGCCTGGATGTGCCTGTTTATAGGAAATCTGAAGGAAGCCGCACAAAATAAGATCTTTGACACGTGGTTATTGCATTTATCGAAGTTTTCAAAATCAGACGTTAAAATCCGTATTACTGTTTAACATTTGTAGAAAAAGTATTTTTGTTTTACAGGTTCTTTAGTCTGAATTAGCAATCACTGTTCGGGAGACAGGGCATCGAATAGGAATCAGTTCACATAAAATCCCACTTTTCTATTTATAGATCTAATACTTAATCATAATCGTATAAGGTACGGTCAAGCTTATTTTCACAATCGGGATTTTCCCTATATATTTTCATAATAATACACGAGGTGTTATATCATTATGATACAGTGCCATTTTAAATTAATTCAACTATCCGTTTTAATTTGCATTGAAACTATTTGTTTGAGTTTTAAGAGACGACTTGTTTTTGGTTAATTTTCTTTTTTAGAGACCCCTTCATTACGTTTGCGTATCTGGTTTTTATATTTTGTAATGAAAATGTTATTTTAAACATAGCAATTTGAAATTATAGTTCTCAAAGATGTACTGGTTCATTTTTATCTAGTGGAATAAACAGAAACATTTAGGTGAGGGTTCCATATTTTAAAAAACACATTGTTTATGATTTTCCGGTTTAATTTTAGACATTAAGTTTAATTATTACTTTTTATATGTTATTTCTCTTAAAGCACAGATACAGTCTTATGTGTTAGATATGTGCGAGACGAAATTGCTGATAAAACGTTAAACCTAACTGACACATGGAACTGGGCGTAATTTAATTTTGCATATAAAAAGCTGTATACCATTTACTGGTAATATTAGCCTGTTGGTTTTGATTTTTGACTGGTTGTGTTGTTTGACTATTTTTCGCACGTGGATTTTCCCTACCCACCATCTGGCGAAAGACTGCGCTAGGGCGCTATGTCCCGCGACAACCCTCTTAATTAGGAAACATTCCTTGCAGATGCTCCAAACCTGGGTATTTTAATTAATCGGTGGAGTGTGTTTTTTTTTTTATCGGGATGTTTTGTTTAAAACTGATAATCATTATGTGCAATTGGTATTCTGTATTGAGGTCCTGAAAGAAACAGACAATACATTTTTTTTCTAAACGGAATTATGTATCTTTTGGTTCATGCGAGTTTTAAATTTGCAATTTTTGTTCGCTTTAGTAAGAGATGAAAAAAAAGACATTTGAACTTTTTACTTTTAAAAGGCTACTTAACATATGTTGCTTATGCCAGTCGTTTTATAAATGTCTTATTTATATTTATTGATACGTTATGAAGGACCAATGAAGAATGCCGTCAGGACAGAAGTTGTATGATGTGAATTTACCCACGATTTCAAATGAACGAAAATCACGCCGAATTAAACGACGCTTATGAATCTGTTCATTTACAGCTACACCCTTTTGAGTGACAAAATATGGAGTAGAATGTCAATAGATGACGGCAGCGGAAATAAGTGGAAGGGCGACGATATATCAACTGCTCAGAAAAGCTTTCATGAATGTATCAGCAGAAACATGATCAATTATATCAGGCGCACGAGCAGAAGGAGAGGCGATCTGCAAACTGTTGCGGGCATCTGCGCATCCAGCCCATTCTTATTGACGCGAGACAGACGCGTGCTGGTGCGCTGAATGGGGATGCCACGCGCCGGAGCCCCGGGGAGCCAAGCGCAGATATTCCGATAAAATTGACATATCTCCCATTTCACGGCACATAAAGGCTCAAATCGAAATATCTGTCTCCCCTTTGAGGCAGCCCACATGACACTCAATTCATTTATGGATAGCGTGACTGACACGTCATTAAACAGCGTTTTTGTCTCCAAAACATATCGGGGTTGTATTACACCTTCAGCACACAATCTGCTCTATTGTTTTTTGCAGGGTTACTTAAGAGGTGTTATCTTTAAGAACATAAACCAAATTCATTATATATTAATAATTATATTATATTATATATGAATAACTTTTTAAAATTTAAGCATAATCCAAGCAAACAATGCTCTCATTTACAAAAGAGCAATCCGGTTACATATAGTGGGTGAACATCCAGGGCCCCTGATCCCCAAATGGATCATTACCTGTTGTACTGTGTGTCCTGTTGCCATATCAGTACCTTCAGTAGGCCGGGAGCCATGGTGTGTTGTCAATACACTTCTGACAGCAGCTGTTTAGATCAAAATTGATAAAAAGGACTCCACCTGCCAATCCCCCCCCACACACACACACACACCCTCAGCCCATGGTAGTTCTAGTCTAACAAACTAAAAACAGACTCTGACCATACTGTGGCGCAAAGCATAAAAAATGTAACTTCCTTTTGTGCAGGCGTTGGTAAATCTGAGAGATCTGACAAACGTTACACCTCATACAGTCACGATGCGTAATTAGAAATATGATTCATGCTATTTCACTTCTATTTATGCTTTATCTTCTATTTTTTCCCATCGCCATCCACATGAATTTGTGCTTGTTGTGGCTTTAGCCACTATGGGATACTAAGTGACATCAAAGTGGCAGCGCATGCGTCTGGCGGCACAGAGATCCCGTGCAGGACTTTACCGCGCTGTCACCAGGCTCGTAGCGGCGGACTGTGATGGCGAGGCGTGCAAAGTGCTGCGAGCTGCGAAGGAGCAGCCTGCCCCCCTGCTGGACGTGAGTTAACGGCACGCAGGGTCACGCCGGGTGCGAACATGGCCTCCCCCCGCTACCTCGCGGCTGATTTACAGTGAACGCTGGCAAGGGAGCGGGCAAAAGGAAACGTTGGTGTGCAGATATGATGGTGTCTTTGAAACGAAGCGCTTTCTCAGAGCCATGACCTCACCCCCCCCCCCCCCCCCCCCACACACACACACACACCCCGGCAAGCCACCCACAGCACTTAGAGTCTGAGAGTAACGTGGGGCAGTGATCTCTCTGCACTGAGACAATGGCCTATTCCGACTATTTTATTTGCCGGCCGCGTGAGTAAGTGCCCAGCCAGCCGTCCCGCTGCTCTCCCCTTGGTTTGTTCCCACCATTCACGGGCCACGCTCAGATCCTGCAGGAGGAAGGCACTGCCGAGATACCCCCCCCCCCCAGCCCCCAAAAGAAAAATCATCCTGGGGCTTTATAGTCACACCTTTCTATCAAAATAACCACTGTTACCAACATCACAGGTACAATCTTGAGTCATAAAATCATTTTCGCTTCTGTGCCTCATAAGCTATACCTCTACCTTAAACCTATAAAACTCAGTCATCTGGACATGTAACTTTCGCAGATAAATGAAGAACCGGCACCAGTGCAATTAACAACAGGCTGATAGCTCACCTGGCCAGATGGCTCATCCGTTTTTATATTTATGTACTTTATTTTTCCAGCGGCTGCACCTCAGCGTTTGGCACGGCCGCGTCTGCGTCCCTTGCAGTTACAGGTGTCTTCTCTGACGGCCCCCGGCAATAAACTTGCCTGGATTCGCTCCCGTGGTCTGGAGGAAGATTAGCATTAAATGGAGATTAGAGCCAAATGAAGCAGCGGATTCATAAAAGAACAGCTGTCGGGGCCTGTGGACAAACGTTCCTTTCTTCACCCCATCATTCTGCTTTGTTTCCTGGCTTGAACTTGCCATTATCTGTGAGTTACAGCCCTCTGTCTGCATCCTGAGAGGCCTGTTTGCAGAACATCCCAGAATCGTGTCCTGCAAGCCGCTATCCCATTTGCTGCAGCGGCAGACACGACCGAGCCCTCCTGCTCAGTTCTCACAGAGAGCTGAAAGCAGGCTTGGTAAATGGGGACGCGGCCTTCGGGAAAGTAACCGGGAGGCTATGGGTTTGAGGCCTGGGAGGTGCTGTATCTATGCTCATGCTATGAAGTGCTCCGGTAAAGACCATCCAGACGTTTACATACAT